CTTTAAAAAAAAAATCAACCTATGCAAACTGACATTGGCCTAGAATTTCAAACTACTTCTTAACAGCAACTGTAATAGCCAAAGCCGCTAGGTTACCAGAATGTAAAAATAAAAAGCAGACAAGGGGGGAAAAATGAGATGTATGTAATACTTTAAACAATAAAGAATTTAAATTTTAAAGAAAAGCAGACAATTGTCTAAAAATAGCCTTCTAAGGAGAGAAAATCATAACAGTTTTAGCAATTAAGATTGAATAATATAAAATCCCTTTTTTTGTTGTTAATTCTCACCAGAGGATATTTTTCCATTGATTTTTAGAGAGTGGAAGGGTGGGGGAGATACAGAAAGAGAGAAACATCGATGTGAGAAAGATGCATCAATTGGTTGCCTCCCACACAGGTCCTGACTGGGGCCGGGGATCTAGCCTGCAACCAAGGTACATGACCTTGACTGGAATAGAACCCAGGACCTGTCTGTGGACTGACGCTCTACCCACTGAACAAACTGGCTAGGGCCCCTTAGTCTCTTTCATTTGTTATTTCACTAAAAGTTATTATATAAGATAGTTTTTAACCAAAATGCAATGAAAAACTCCTGCATGCATCTAGCCCACATTCATTATAACCAAGTTTTACTTATTCCGTTTTTAGTCATACCCCTTGCTAGAGCAGCCTTGCTGGTGTGGGTCAATGGTTGAGTGTCGGCTCATGAACCAGGCGATCATGGTTCAATTCCCGTTTATGGCACATGCCCGCGTTGCCAGTTCAATCCCCAGTAGGGAGCATGCAGGAGGCAGTGGATCAATGTCTCTCATCAATGTTTCTCTATCACTCTCCCTTCCTCTTTCTTAAATCAATCATATACATGTACATATATACATATATATATATATATGTGTGTGTGTGTGTGTGTGTGTGTGTATGTATATATGTATGTATGTATGTGTATGTATATGTATATGCATATGCATATGTATATATATTAGAGGCCCACTGCATGAAATTCATGTACTAGTAGGGTCCCTAGCGGCTGCCAGCTGGGGCCTCCCTCCCTTCCTCCGTCAGACCGGACCCGCACCCTGGTTGAACTCCTGGATGACTTCTCGGTCAAGGGGACAATTTGCATACTACGCTTTTATTATATAGGATTATTATATATTATGTAAAAGCCTTGGAGCATAACATGAGCACAACCGACATAATTTAACCTGAATCGCTACAAAGAACATTTCTCCAAAACCTTTCATATTAATTATAATCTATACTGTAGGCTCTAAACAGGTTACTTAGTTTTCTTTTTTTTTTTTCCTTAGTTTTCTAACAGGGTAAAAAATGGAGTCTAATATTTATTTGCCCATTTGCAAAGAATAAGCATAAGTACTTTCTTTTTGGAAAATATCTGGTTTTTATTCACTCTGTTGAATATCCATCTCAGCTATTTTCAATGCATTTATAGTTACAGTGCTTACTTACAGGAAATAATTTGCATTCCAAATTTTTAAACTTGCTGTTTCCACAATCACAATGGAAATTTCTGAAAGAAAGAAAGAGCCAACTTTAATTTTTCTTTTAAAACTAATGACCGCTTAAAGTTCATATCATAGCCTCTTCCCTTTCAACTCATTTCTAGGATCTAAAAAGTGGCCTTGGTTGCTGTTCATATATCCAATTCAGAATTTCTTCAACTGCCTAACAATAAGATTTAATAATTCTGGAAATTAATGTGCAGAAACAAATATTTATATCACATCCTGAGACACAAATAAATTAATGGCAGTGAAGGATGAGTAGTTTGAATTTGTATCATAATTATCTTTTAAAAGGCCCTTTGGGAAAACTATTGTCTCAAATCATTATATAAACAAGTACAATAAATTTACCTGTACACAGCTTCATTGAATGGAAAAGCAAGATTATGAAAAAAAAATGCAGCTGGGAAAGAATCTAAACATTTAAAAAGCATTCAGCACCAATCTGTCTTTACCTTTTTGTATATAGCTCAAATAGTTTATGACTTCCGTGACACTCATAGCTGCAGGCTAGGCAAATGCCTGCTGGTGCTTCTCCCTTGGGGGTGCAGGTACCACAGGCATATAGTGCTTGTCTCTTTACGGAGCCCTAAAAGACAGCCCCAAAATGAAAAATGAGAATGAAATATGGCATGGTTACCTAACACCGATACTGTGATCTGAGAAATAATTGAAATCAGATTACCGAAGGTGAAAATCTTCCTGTAAAAACCACTAAGATTAATAAAAAAGCTTACACAAGAGAGTGCCAAAACAATGCTGCATGTTTCACATCATTATATATACTACTAGAGGCCCGGTGCACAATTTTGTGCACCAGTAGGGTCCCTCAGCCTGGCCTGCAGGATTGGGCCGAAACCGGCTCTCTGACATTGCCTGAGGGGTCCCAGATTGTGAGAGGGCACAGGCCAGGCCGAGGGCCCCCACCGGTGCACGATCTGCTGGGGAGGGATGTGGGAGGTTGGCCAGCCAGGGAGGGGCCACAGGAGGGCTCCAGGGCGAGTCCAGACTGACTTGCTCAGTCCTGATCAGTGGGACCCCAGCAGCAAGCTCACCTACTAGTTGTAGCGTTTTCGCCTTGGTGGTCAGTGCACGGTCATAGAAGCAGTTGAGCAGCCTTAGCATATCATTAGCATATTACGATTTGATTGGTTGAAAGGGTGACCGGATGACCAGACACTTAGCATATAACTTTTATCATATATAAGACTACTACATACTTGTTTTCATACAATTTTTCCTAAAGTGATAGGAAGTTTAATATTTTCAATCAGCTGTGAATAGGATGGTCTGCTTAACCACTTTAACACATGAAAATGTAGGAGAATGTGTATAGGTTGATATAAGTAACATCACACTTTAATTTTGGAAAATACTTGATTCCATCAAAGACAAAATCAATGCACTTAAAAAAAATCCCTTTTATTTTTGGGGGGAGATGCATGCTGAAACATTTAGAGGTGTAGTGTGGTGACATCTGCAAGTTACTTTCAAATGGTTCATCACAAAACAAAAAAGAAAGTCTATTATAGAGAAGAGGAGAAAGATAAATGTAAAATGCTAAAAAATGAAGGTATGTTAAGAGATACACGAGTATTCATATCATTCTTTCAATTTATTGGTAGATTAAAAATGTTTCAAAATAAAAAACAGGCAAAACTTTTTACAAATTTTGACAAGTCCGCTGTAGGAAGGAGGAAGACACAGGGGAGCTTCGGAATGCCAGTAACGTTCCATTTCTTGGTCTGGGTGGTAGGTACCTGCATGTGTTTTTTTCAAGCCCTACACAGGATTTGTGCAACTTGTTATATATTTTCCTATAATAAAAAGAAAATTTTGCCCTAACCGGTTTGGCTCAGTGGCTGGAGTGTCAGCCTGCGGACTGAAAGGCCCCAGGTTCGATTCCGGTCAAGGGCATGTACCTTGGTTGCAGGCACATCCCCAGTAGGAGGTGTGCAGGAGGCGGCTGATCAATGTTTCTCTCTCATCGATGTTTCTAACTCTTTATCCCTCTCCCTTCCTCTCTGTAAAAAAATCAATAAAATATATTTTTTTTAAAAGAAAGTTTTAAGTAAGTCTGTTTTATAAAGTTAACTACATTTCAAAAAGAGCTTACAGATTTTTTTTTAAAAGGCCGGAGGAAAACTGTTCTGGTGGGAACGGAAGGTTCTAAAACACCAGCCGCGTCCGGGACCACCTATGAGTAGCAGGTGTGGGGACCATCTAACCCCCCGGCAGCGGGGCCTCGCGTGGTCCGGGCGACAAACGGCACTGTGATCTCAGTCCCACCACATAAAGGCCCCAGCGAGACTCCTCCCCCCCGAGTTCCATTCCCCGGGCCTGGACGAGACCCTCTGCATCCTACCGATCCTCAGCCCTTGTGAGTTTTCCTCTACCCACCGCGATCCGTTTCTGTGCCTAGAAACACACAGGATGAGTCACCCAACACCACTGCACACCCCCTCAATGCTTGCTCACCACGTCTGCCGAACGCCAAATGCCCTCCTCAAGCAGGTCCCTTCGCTCCCGCCTCCCCCGTGTGCCGGCACCATCTGCTGCTCTGGTTCTACCCCCGTGGGGGGCCGACTGCAGAGCTATTCGGCACTGGTGTCGTCTCGCCAAAAAACACACACAAAAAAACACGCATAAAAAAAACAAAACAAAAACACACACATACACACACGCACAAAACTGGCCGCTAAACTAAAATGCAGAGGAACGAGCTGTCAAGGAGGCCAGCCCACGAAGGGGGGTTTTCAAACCCAGGCTCAACTCCACTGGGACGCTGCCATCAGGTTCCTAATACACACTCTTAGGGTGGGAAAGGCAGCGGCGAGGAGGCCTGGATTTAAGAAAGACAAGAGTGGCTGCCCAGGGCCCAAGCTCGGCGAATCCCGAACGGCCGGCCGGAGGAGGAGCGAGGGAGGAGGGGGCCCTGCTGGACACGGGCTGCGCAAGGGGGCCCAGGAGGCTGAGGGCCAAGGAGCAGCTGGGCCTGGGATGGGGAAGTCCACCACCAACGGCGGCCCCGGTCCGCCACGGAGAAGACGGCCGCGGCAGGCGGGGGTTGGACGGGTCCTCGGGGAACAGAAGGTTCCGCTGGAGCCCGAGGAGGCGAGGCCCCCGCCGCGCGCTCACCTGCGAGTAGGAGCACTTCTCAGAGTCGCTGCCACCCAGGACGGCGCACGCCTCCTTCTCCAACTCCTCGTCCTCCTCCAGGACGTCGACCAGCGACACCACGGGCTCCAGCTCCGACTGCCGCCCTGCGGGACCCTCCGCTCCGGCCATACTCAACTGTCACCCCACCGCAGCTCTGCGCTGGCGGAGGCGGGAAAAGCGGGCGCGGGAGGCGTGGCCGGAGGAGGCGGGTCCTGAGCGCCAAGGACCAATCCCCAGAAAAGGAAGCGAAGGAAGGGGGAGGAGCGACTTCCGACAAACGGAAGTCACTCCTCTCCCTTCTCCCGCCTGCGCCCACTGCGGGCTGGTTTCCGCTTCCGGATGGTAGCTCCGGGTGGCGCGTTCTGGTAGCTCAGTGGTTGCCATGGAGATTTTAGGCGAGTACGTTGGGCTGGAAGGGCAGCGGCACCAGCTGCGGGTGTCCTGTGAGGCGCCCGACGACGCGGACCCTCTCCAGGGCCTATTGTCGGGCGTGGCCCGGATGAGGGAGCTGGTGGCCGAGCTCTTGGACCCCCAGGTGCAGCGGGAAGCGCAGGACCGAGCGGCGGCGGCTCCAGAAGAGGCCTTGGACGGTGAGCTCTGAGACCATGGAGGGCGGGAAGATGTGGGAACCCGGGGAAGATCTGTTCGGGGAGCCCGTAGAGCTGCAGACTTGAAAAAAGCTTCGAGGGAAGAAGAATTCCACCTAAATTTTTTTTTTTACACCTTCCGCCCTATTTGGGCGGAATTGGGGCTGATTAATTTGCTTCTACCCAAGCGTTTTCACCACTCTATTTCATTTATATCACACTACACAAAAACAAACAGCCGGCTCAGTGGTTAAGCCTCGACCTATGAACCAAGAGGTCACGGTTGGATTCCTGGTCTCGGCATGTGCCCGAGTTACGGGCTCAATAGGGGGGAGGAGGGGGTGGCGGCGTGCAGGAGGCAGCCGATCAATGATTGATCTCATTGATGTTTCTTACATATTTAGAAAGCAAAACAACAAACACAAGAGCCTGCTGAAGGCCCGCTGTGTGCCAGGCACCGGGCTGAGCTCTGGAGAAAATGCGATGGGATCTGGCCAGGTAGCTCAGTCCGTTAGAGGCGGGCTGACATGGTTTCGGGCTCCTTCTGGATCAGGGCTCAGACAGGAATCAACCGATGAATGTGTAAATAAGTGCAGCAACATATGGCTATTCCTCTTCTCTCCTGATCTCTCTCTTTCTCCCCCTTCCTCTCGCTCACTAAAATAAACATTTTTTAAAAAAGGAAAGAAAAATAAAAGTGAATGTGATTCCGTTGCTCTCCTTGTGGACGGACCTCGGAGTGATGAGGGTGAAACAGGCAAACGCTTATTCAGGAGTGAAAGGCTGACCCCGGGACCTCTTGTAACTCCTGCAAACCGAGAGAACCCAGGAAGGCCTCAGAGAGGGCCTGACCGAGCTGGGTGTTTTACCAGCTGTGAAATCACAAACGCGTGGAAGACTGGCCTCTAGTCCTGACCGGTTTCGCTCAGTGGATAGAGCGTTGGCCTGCGGACTCAAGGGTCCCAGGTTCAATTCCAGCCAAGGGCATGTACCTAGGTTGCGGGCACACACCCAGTAGGGAGTGTGCAGGAGGCAGCTGATAGACTTTTCCAACTCTCTATCCCTCTCCCTAACTCTGTAAAATATCAATAAAATATAATAAAAATAAAGTAACTTTAAGAATAGGAACAGGTGCTGAAGATTGGGATGGATTTTGGTTTGAAGAGTCTTAAGAGCCCAGGCACTCCTACTCTCCCATATCCCAGTGTTGTAGGTGCAGTTTGTAAATAGAAAGGTGAAATTTAACTGCATTAATCTTTTTAAAATACTGTCTTGAATGCAAAAACGGGTATCCATTTTGACTGGCCCAAACTGAAGGACCTGTGAACTAATTATTGGAGGCAGGACGTAACTCTGTAGAGTAGCTGGAACTGTACTTGCCTTTTCTTTCTTTTCCATTTTGATTGCATGTTGGTCGTTCCAGATCATGTGAAGGAGCCCGTTTGGAACATTACACAGAGTTCAGATAACAGGTTGTTTCCATGTCAGTATATTGAGAGTGAAGTCCTGTTTCTTGGCTCCAGAAGTACCTCTCTAATCTCTTGAAAATGTTGTCATTGGCATATGGACAGGAGTATAACTAGAGCCATTTTTTAAAAATCTGATATTACTTATTGGAAAAATAACTGCCACCTGTTCGATTAATGGTGGGTCAAGCTGCATTGACTAATGACCGACCGATCAGTAGAAACCACAACACTGGATTGAGATTCTCCCCTGGGAGCTCCCTACAATTCCGGCCCTGAAAAGCCGGTGGGACCTAGGACCCAGCCCGCTCTCTCTATGGAACGGTATGCCTTTCCCCGCCTCCTTCCCCCAGGCCCCTTTCCGTGCCTCTTGCTCTGCATCTCTTTCTCCCAAGCTCCAGGGGCTCTCTTTTGCCTCTGTTACCTTGTTTCCTGAGCCCATTTCTTCTACAGCTCACTTCTGCCTCTGTGACTTTCTAAGTAACTTTCTCTTATAGTCTGAAAAAAAAAATGGTGGGTCAGGCATATTTTTGTATAGGTTGGCATGTTTTTGTACTATTTGCTTAATGAAATCCCCATAAAACTTAGGTTTGAATTACCTTTGTTAAAAATAATAGAATACATTGGTCCGTGGGGCTCAGTGGTTAGAGGGTCTGCCCATGCACCTTAGGGTCTTAGGTTCAATTCCTGGTCAAGGGCATGTACCTGGGTTGCAAATTCAATCCCTGGCCCTGGTCCAAGCACATGGGGGAGGAAACCAATCTGTGTCTCACATCAGTGTTTCTCTCTCTCTCCCTTCCCTCCCTCCCTCCCTCCCATCCACTCTCTCTAAAAATCAATGGAAAAAAATATCCTCAGGTGAGGATTAACAATAACAAAAAAGTAGTAGAGATTAAATAATGAATGTTATGTTATATGAATTATATCTCAAATAACAATGTACAAAATAAAAAATTACAAGTACAAAAGCAAAGTGATTGAACTTAATATTAAAAGCACTCCAGTTACCAAATACAAAGGAATTGAATAGACAGTTCTCCAAAACAGATATATGAGACCAATAAGCACATGGAAAGATGTTCAACATCATCGGCCAGCAGGAAAATGCACATCAAAACCACAATGAGATAACACTGCATGCCCACTGGGATGGCTATCATAAAAAAGAACAATAACAAATGTCGGCTAGTATATGAAGAAATTGGAGCCCTTATTATTACTGGTGAAAATGTAAAATGGCCCTGGCTGGTGTGGCTCAATTGGTTAAGTCCTGGGGTCACCAGTTTGAGTCCCTGTCAGGGCACATACCCATGTTTTGAGTTTGATCCCTGGTCAGGGTGCATATGGGAGGCAACCAGTTAATGTTTCTCCCTCCCCCTCACTCTTCCTCCTTTAGAAAAGAGCTTGGCAGTTCCTCAAAAAGTTATACATAATGCCCAGCCAGTGATGCTCAGTGGTTGAGCGTCAACCCTGAACCAAGAGGCTGCTGGTTCAATTCCCAGTCGAGGCAAATGCCCGGGTTTCAGGCTCAATCCCCAGAAGGGGGAATGCAGGAGGCAGCCAATCGATGTTTCTCTCTCTATCCCTCACCCTTCCTCTCTCTAAAATCAATACAAACATATTTAAGAAACAACACACACAAAGTTAAGCATAAAGTCAACATTTATTGACCCAGCAATTCCACTCCTAGTTCTCACAAGAGAATTGGAAGCATGTTCACACAAAAACTTACACAGTAATGTTCATAGCAGCATCATTCATAATAGCTAAAAAGTGGAAACAACACAAATGCTCATCAACTGATGAGTGGATAAACAGACTGTGATATATAGTGGAATATTGTTCAGCAATAAAAAAGAATGAAGTACCGATATATGCTACATCATGACTGAACCTTGAAAACATTATGCAAAGTGAAAGAAGCCAGTCACAAAAGGCCACATACTGTATGATTCCATTTATTTAAATGTCCAGAATAGGCAAACCTATAGAGATAGAAAGTGGTTGCCAATGATTGAGGACAATAGAAAGTGACTGCTAATAAATGTGGGATTTCTTTTGGGGATAATGAAAGTGTTCTAGAATTAGATAGTCATGTTGTACAATTTTATGAATATACTACAAATCAAGCTGTATACTTTATAAGAGTAAATTTTGCGGTTATATGAATTATATCTTCAAAAAAGTAATAGGAAAGGTTTTAAGCACCAAAATTACTGAAATCTTTTTTTTAATTTTAAAATAATATATTTCCATTGGTTTCAGAGAGGAAGGGAGAGGGAGAGGGAGACAGAAACATCAATGATGAGAGGGAATCACCGATCGGCCACCTCCTGCACACCCCACACTGGGGACCAAGCCCACAACCAGGGCATAGGCCTCTACCGGGAACCGAACCTCGAACCTCTTGCTCATAGGTCAACGCCCAACCACCAAGCCACCCCGGCTGGACTGAAATCTTTTTAATGATACTTCAAATCTGGAATATACATGGTTTTATTAATCCTAAAGTGAAATGGTCTCATTATCAACGATTTTAATTATATTTCTTTCAACCACTGAACACATTGTCATACAAATATTTATTTTAAAAGGTGATAATGAAGATGATGCAGAAGATGAAAATAACATTGATAACAGAACTAACTCAGATGGACCATCTGCAAAACGGCCAAAAACATCATTTTAACAATAACTGTATGAAATGTAAAAGACTGCTGCCATGCTTGCTCTGCAGCCTACATACTAAAATTGGAACAATACAGAGAAGATTAGCAAGACCCCTGCACAAGGATTACACGCAAATTTGTGAAGCATTTAAATAAAAAAGACTACAGCCATATCAACATCTGCTCTAATTGAGAAAAGCATTTGTTTTGTTCCTCTGGCACAGTTTTGTCAAAGAAAAAAACTTCTGTTTCCAGCAAAGAAAGATATAATAAATGTTTAGAAATGAATCTGTTTTCTTGAGTGAAGAATTTCAGGCCATGGAAATAATAGAGAACACTTCATAATGTGTAAAATCCTTTAAGTTGGCAATTTGTATTGTTTTCTACTTTTTAAAAAAAGATTTTTAAAATTGATTTTTAGAGAAATGTTGATGTGAGAGTGAAACATCGATAGGTTGCCTCCTGCATGCCCCCTTAACAGGGATGGAGTCTGAAACCCAGGCATGTGCCTTTACCGGGAATCAAACTGACAACCTTTCCATGCACAGGATGATACCCAATCAACTGAGCCACACTGGCCAGAGCTTTTTCATTTGATTTCTATTTCTAAAAATAATTATTGAATTAATTTGTGTGATATCTGCATCTTTTAACTTCTTTTATTATAAAAAGTACATGTCACCCACTGGTGTGCCTCAGTGGTTGAGCATCAACCATGAACCAAGAGGTCACTAGTTCAATTCCCAGTCAGAGCACATGCCTGGGTTATGGGCTCAATCCCCAGTAGGGGCCATGCAGGAGGCAGCCAATCAATGTTTCTCTCTCATTGATGTTTCTAACTCTCTTTCTCCCTTCCTCTCTAAAATCATATATTTTTTTTTAAGTACATGTTATGGTTTGTGGACAAAAATATTTCAAAGAACTGTCGTGAGCAAGTGATGAGATTGGGAATTGACTATAAGAATGGAAATCTGGTCCTGGCCAGGTGGTTCAATTGGTTGGAGTGTCGTCCCATACACCCAAAGGCTAAGGGGTTTGATTCCCAGTCAGGGCACATACCTTGGTTGCGGGTTGGCTTCCTGGTCAAGGCACATACAGGAGGCAACCAATCAATGTTTCTCTCTCTCTCTAAAAACACCAATAAAAAAAAATATTCTCAGGTGAGGATTAAAAAAAGAAGAATGGCAATATGTATCAGAATTGTACACTTGAAAACTATATAATTTTATTAACCAATGTCACCCCAACAAACTTAATTTAAAAACAACAATAGCAGTCTGCTTAACTAAAAAGAAAACAGGAATAGAAGTACTGAATGAAGATAAAGAAGACCCCTTGAGAAAAACCCAAGGAAAGCTTGAATCCACACTCACACCCAATATACAAACATCCAGAGATGATACAATTAAGTGACTATATAGGCTGTGGCAAAAGTAGGTTTACAGTTGTGAATGCACGAAACAGTTTATTCTTATACTAGAGGCCCAGTGCATGACATTTGTGCATGGGAAGGGGGCGGGTCTCTCAGCCTGGCCTGTGCCCTCTCACAGTCCTGGACCTAAGGGGTCCTTAGTGCTGCCACAGAGGTGAGAGAGGCTCCCACCATCCCCGCTGCGCTCACCTGCTGTGAACCAGCTTCTGGCTGAACAGCACGCTTCCTGTGGGAGTGCACTGACCGCCAGGGGGCAGCTCCTGCATTGAGCATCTGCCCCCTGGTGATCAGTGCACGTCATAGCAACCAGTCATTCCACCGTTTGGTCGGTTTGCCTATTAGCCTTTTTTATATAGCATTATTATTCATTATTGTATTTCCCATATGAACAACTGTAAACCTATTTTTGTTCCAATCGGTATATTTAATTTGTAACTTAAGAGAGCCAAATGGGATGTTCTTTTATGCTGTGAACACAAATATAATCTTTAAGTAAACATTCTGTGTTGACTTTGATATTTCCTCTCATCCTGTAACCATACTGATTTTGCTTAACGAAGGACTATTTTTTAATTATCCTCCCTCTTTAAAAAACGTTATTTTTATTGATTTCAGAGAGAGGAGGGGAGAGGGAGAGAGATAGAAATATCCATGAAGAGAGAGAATCATCAATCAACTGCCTCCTGGATGTCACCTACTGGGGATCCAGCCCACAACCCGGGCATGTGCCCTGACTGGAATTGAACTGTGACCTCGTACATAGGTCGACACACAACCACTGTGCCATACTGGCTGGGCTCATTTTGTTTCCTTCTTTAATATATTTTAAAAACTAGAGGCCCGTTGCATGACATTTGTGCACTGGGGGTACAGGGGGTCCCTCAACCCTGCCTGTGCCCTCTTGCAGTCCAGGACCAATTGAGGGATGTCCGACTGTCAGCTTAGGCCCACTCCCTGTTCCCTAAGCTGGCAGGCAGACATCCCTCAAGGGGTCCTTAGCGCTGCCTTAGGGGTGGGAGAGGCTCCCGCCACCGCTGCTGCGCTCGCCAGCCATGAGCCTGGTTCCTGACTGAGCGGAGCTCCCCCTGTGCGAGCTCACTGACTACCAGGGGCAGCTCCTGCGTTGAACGTCTGCCCCCTGGTGGTCAGTGTGCATCATAGTGACCAGTCGTTCTGCTGTTTGGTCGATTTGCATATTAGGGTTTTATAATATAGGATATGTTTATAAATAAGAAATTTCAAGATACCTGTGCTGTGATTCAGTGTTTTATGGTCTAGGCCAGGGGTGAGCAAACTTTTTGACTCGAGGGCCACAATGGGTTCTTAAACTGGACTGGAGGGCCGGAACAAAAGCATGGATGGAGTGTTGGTGTGAACTAATGTAAATTCAAAGTAAACATCATTACATAAAAGGGTACGGTCTTTTTTTTTTTAGTTTTATTCATTTCAAATGAACTGCGGCTCTTTGGCCCCTTGAGTGTGGCTCTTCCACAAAATACCACATGGGCACGCACGTACAGTAAGATTGAAACTTCTTGGCCCATGCTCAGAAGTCGGTTTTTGGCCTGGGCGTGTCTATTTTGAAGAAGTACCGTTGATATTTGGCTCTGTTGACTAATGAGTTTGCAGACCACTGGTCTAGGCTATAGATTTGATTAATCTTTTCCTTTAACTTTAATACTGATTTTAATTCTTATGTATCTTCTTCACACATGAGCCATATGTGTAACAAAAAAGGTCATGTTGGCTGTAACCAGTTTGGCTCAGTGGATAGAGCATCGGCCTGCGTACTGAAGGGTCCCAGGTTCGATTCCGATCAAGGGCATGTACCTTGGTTGAGGGCACATCCCCAGTGGGGGGTGTGCAGGAGGCAGCTGATCGATGTTTCTCTCTCATTGATGTTTCTAACTCTCTATCCCTCTCCCTTCCTCTCTGTAAAAAATCAATAAAATATATATATTTTTAAAAAGGTCATGTTGAAGGACCAGTATAGAAGAAATGCCTAGCTTCTGTGGCACTGAGCGCCCCGTACTTCCCCCGTCATCATATGAAATGTACTGTAGCAGCATTATTTCTTCAGCTACTCAGAATTTTTTTTAAGTTTTATTTAAGAAGGACTAGACTTTTAAAGGAAATAAAGTTTATGTTTTTTTCCAAGTGAGAAAATCAGTTGGAGGTATCTGTGGCCCTCAAGTTTATTATATAGTATTTTTATCTAGCTCCTATTTAGCCTATAAAAGATATCTCTCAGTGAAATTGTTCAGTCTGTACAAATATAGAATATTATTTCTTATATGGCTAGAAGAGTCATACCTTTGACATCCTGAAAACCTATGCATTTTAACTTAATTGTCAGCCACCATGTTATAATAAAATGTTTATAAGAAATTTCTGTTTGAACTGATTGTAGTTGAGCACTGCAAAGCTCAAAACTGTATTACCATAAATGCAGCTAGTGATAGTTTCAAATAAAATTAACATATTAATTAAATAATTCTACCATTACTTGTGGTAATTATTTCTTGGGTATCTAAGTATATTGTAAATAGAGTGTAAAATTCTTATAGAAATTGAAAAATACATGAATGAGCAAAAGTAGGTTTACAGTTTTGAGTATATAAAATGCAGAGTTTATTCTTGTATTATTATTATTAATTATTGTATTATTTCTTTGTATTATAACTATAAACCTACTTTTGCCCACCCCTATATTTGTAAAACAATACTCAGTTTTAACAAATGAGACATGAATTGATTTCTCATAGTTTTTGTGATGAAGTTGGGTTCTTTTCTCATTACTTAGAACATCATAAATTTCAGGTAGATTCAAGAATTTTAGAGTAAAGAACAAAACCATTAAAGTACTAAAAGAACCCTGACTGCCCTAACCGGTTTGGCTCAGTGGATAGAGAATCGGCCTGCAGACTGAAGGGTCCCAGGTTCGATTCTGGTCAGGGGCATGTACCTTGGTTGCGGGCACATCCCCGGTGGGAGGTGTGCAGGAGGCAGCTGATCGATGTTTCTCTCTCATCGATGTTTCTAGCTCTCTATTCCTCTCTCTTCCTCTCTGTAAAAAATCAATAAAATATATTTTTAAAAAATAAAGAAAGAAAGAACCCTGACTGCAGCTCAGTTGATTAGAGCATCATCTGATATGCCAAGGTTGCTGGTTCCACCCCCAGTCAGGGGCACATACAAGAATCTACCAATGAATACATAAATAAGTGGAACAACAAATCCATGTTTCCCTCTTTCCCCCCTCCTCTCTAAAATCAACAGAGTGAAAAACAAAAGTGGTAAAAGAAAATGGGATAATAATTTCTATAATTTCAGAGTGAAATTTTCCTAAGCAAGTTTTTAAAAATCCAGAAACCATAATAGAAAAAATTAGTAAATATGATTACATAATAAAATTTCTGAACATTCTGTGAATAAGGTTAAAAGACAAAGAAGGTAAAAGTATTTCATATTTTCAGCACAAATGACTAAGAATTAATTCCTTATATGGATCTCATGTGTACCAGTCAGAAATACACTAGAAATGGGCAAAGGAAAGGAACAGCAAGATCACAAGAAATACACATGGTTTTTAAATGAAAATGTTCCACTTCCAATAAATGAAAATTAAAACCATAATACAATACCATTTTTTTACTTTCAAACAGAAAGATCACAAGTTTTTTGAAAAATATATTTTATTGATTTTTTTACAAAGAGGAAGGGAGAGGGATAGAGAGTTAGAAACATCGATCAGCTGCCTCCTGCACACCCCCTTCTGGGGTTGTGTCCGCAACCAAAGTACATGCCCTTGACACCGGAATCAAACCTCTGACCCTTCAGTCCGCAGGCCGATGCTCTATCCACTGAGCCAAACCCATTAGGGCAAGATCACAAGTTTTGATGCAAGATTGAGCTGGGAAGGATGTGAGGTCTATAATACTAGTATATTGATGGCGAGTATAAACTGATGTAAGCTCTTTGAAAGTCAAGTTGACAATTCTGTTAAAATGTTAAATTGATTCAGCAATTTTACTTAAAGAAATTTATCCTACATATAATAGCAACAAGTGTACAGATCTGTTTACAGAACTATTCACTGCAGCATTCTTCTTAGTAACAAAAAAAAAGTACACAACCTAAATAAATGTCCATCGGAAGATCCTGGTTAAATAAAAATAGAACATGAGTATACTAGAACATTTGTGCAGGCATTAAAACGACCAAGATATAGCTCTGTGTTGTTAAGGATCAATCTCTAGGATATGATGTCAAATGTAAACTAGCAAAATATAGAACAGTGTGTAGAATGCTACTATTGGAGACTATTGGCTTGGATGTGCTTATAATTTCTCTGAAAGGATAGTCAACCTGCTTCTAGAGAGATAGGGGTCGGGAGTGAGAGGGGGGTTTTTCATCATATACTCATTTTGTTTTATTTGCATTAAAAAAATCATGTTACGTATTTTTATACACAAATACAGAAAAAGTTATTGTGGAGTGTGCCACCACCACCACGGCTGCCACGGCCGCCTCCGGGACAGCTGCGCTCCTGAGCATCCCCAGGGCAGCGTGCTGGAAGTTACTGCCAGCTAAACCCAGCCCTCAGCAAGTCCACCTCCGCCTCCACACCTTCAGGGTGAGACCCCTCCAGATCCAAGCCGGACTCCATGGCTGAGCAGTTTAACTGCCACTACTGCAAGGCCTCCCTGCACGGGAAGAAGTACGTGGAGAAGGATGACCACCACTGCTGCCTGGACTGCTATGACGAGCACTGCGCCAACACCTGCATGGAATGCCACCAGACCATCGGTGCAGAAGCCAAGGAGGTCCACTACAAGGAAGGCTTCTGGCACGACACCTGCTTCCGCTGTTCCCAGTGCCAGCACCCCTTAGCCACCGAGAGCTTTGTGGCCAAAGAGAACAAGGTCCTGTGCAAACAGTGCCACCTGCTGGAGTGCGCCCACAAGTGCAAGGGCTGCTCCCAGCCCATTATGCCAGGAGATCAGAACGTAGAGTACAAGGGGACCGTGTGGCACCAAGACTGCTTCGCCTGCAGCAACTGCAAGGAAGTCATCGGGACGGGTAGCTTCTTCCCTAAAGGGGAGGAATACTACTGCATGGCCTGCTATGAGAGCAAGTTTGCCAAGCACTGCATGAAGTGCAAGAAGGCCATCACATCCGGAGGAATCACTTACCAGGACCAGCCCTGGCATGCCGACTGCTTTGTGTGTGTCACCTGCTCGAAGAAGCTGGCCGGGCAGCGTTTCACTGCTGTGGAGGACCAGTACTACTGCGTGGATTGCTATAAGAACTATGTGGCTAAGAAGTGTGCTGGATGCAAGAACCCCATCACTGGGTTTGGCAAAGGCTCCAGTGTGGTGACCTATGAGGGACAGTCCTGGCACGACTACTGCTTCCACTGCAAAAAGTGCGCCCTGAATCTGGCCAGCAAGCGCTTTGTCTTCCATCAGGAGCAGGTGTATTGCCCTGACTGTGCCAAAAAGCTGTAAAGCGAAGGGGCTCTTGCCCTGTAAAATGGAATTGAGTCTTGTTTTTTGTGTTCGCGCCCTCTGACCTGCACTGTCCATAGGGCAAGAGTGGTCTGTCACCTCTTCAAAGTTGCTCCTTCTGTCTTTCCTCCTATTTTACAGTATTACTCAAATAAGGGCACTCACATTAGGACTGAGTAAAAAGCACCCCCGCAGCAGAGTTAATTTTGCGGTGGCTGCAGTTAAAAAACGAACACTTAGTTTACTTTTCTGCATATTTATCATAGCGCAGAAAAGTACCAGCCATTTAGCTGCTTAGTGATGTAAGCAAGAAACCTAGGACAGTGGTCGGCAAACTCGTTAGTCAACAGAGCCAAATATCAACAGTACTTCTTCAAAATAGACTTGCCCAGGCCGAAAACCGACTTCTGCGCATGGGCCACCAAGTTTCAGTCACACTGTACGTGCGCGCCCGCACGTGGTATTTTGTGGAAGAGCCACTCTCAAGGGGCCAAAGAGCCGCATGTGGCTCGTGAGCCGCAGTTTGCCGACCACTGGCCTAGGAGATAAGCCCCAACTCAGGTGCCCCTTCCTGGCTCAGCTGGGACCCATCGTGCCATCACAGGACACACAATTGCACCGGCTGCTCCAGCTCCCTGTTCACCCTGTCCTGAGAGTAGAAAGAGGACGTACCGACGCATGGTTTCACTTCCTCATCAAAACCTTCTTTCTGCTCTTTGTGCTTTCAATCGACTAATACAAATTTCCAGGAAATTAACATTTGAACTTAGCTGTGGGTCTAAGCTGACCTTTTTCCCATACTAAGGTGTGAGTTCCCCGTGTGCTGTGTTTTCTGGACATTCCTACTTCCAAGCATGGAACGTGCGGGTGATGTGGAGGGTGCAGGCATATCGGAGAGAACGGCCCGTTTCAAAGGAACACTGTCACAGTGAATTCTAGAAGCTAACAAAACTAACCCAGCTGCCCTTTTTCTTTTAATTAATATTTTTGTTTTAATTACTAGCAGCATAGTTTATGGGTTTGGAGACTTACATGAAAATACTTTAGTCCCTCAAATGTTCCTGTAGCTTTGTAGTCATTGAACAGAAGTAACCATGAAACTCTAGGCGGGTGGCTGAGCAGGTGCCAGGACTGTCATTGACATGGATGTGATATTTCCAAACAATGGCAAGTCGAATCCCATGTGACAACAGCTGTCTGCTGTTTGTCGCTGCATTAGAGGCCTGCCAGCAGCATCCCTTCTCTGTGATTCTTAGGGCTGTTCCTCGCGAGCTTAGCGGGATCTCTTGGGGAGGAGGGCCACCGTCCTCACAGGCAGAACCGGATTGCCATGCAGTGCTTACCTGAGATGCAGAACCACCCACTTACTGTGCTCTCACTCCATTGTTATAGTCCATAATAGAATGAGAGGATGTCAAAGTGGACATGCATATAACATGCTCCTAGCAGTGGTTAGAGAAGCAGGCGCCTCATTTCTACTTTTTGTCATTAGCTGTTATCATCTAACGTGTCAGGGTGTCCTTACAGAATAAAGCACCATGTAAATTTTAAAAAAAGAAAAAGTTATTGTGAAACTTTCTAAAGATTTTTACTTTCCAAAAGTCATGCTTAAAATTTAGTAAGGGCAAAATAGCCATGTTTACAGTTTGAAATGTCAATAAGTAAATTCAGGACAAAAATGAACCAATCCAGACTTAAAACATAAAAAATCCACCCCCCATTGTGGCTCAGCAGGTGAGGAACCAAGAGGTCACCTGTTCGATACCCTGTCAGGGCACATGCCCGGTCCCTAGTGAGGGGCATGCAGGAGGCAGCTGATTGATGATGTTTCTCTCTCATCAATGTTACTATCTATCACTCTCCCTTTCTCTCTAACAATCAACAAAAACATTTTTTTAATCCATTTCCCATCTGACTACTATTTGTCAGATTAGGGAATACAAAGTGATTTCTAAAGAAGTTAGGAAAACAAAACAAAACCAAAATAGAAAAATAAAAAGGTTAGGAAAACTGGACTAAATATGAGGTAGGATACCATAAAAAAAGGTCAGAGGTGTTTCTAAAACCAAAGTGCTTTGCCTTGAAGAAATTGCCTCTAGCCAGTGCACTATTCTTAAACTATTAAGCAAATTTCAGTGTGGCTGCGACTTTTCCATTCTCGGGTGACCTTTGGGATCAGAATTGCTTTATTTAAAGACATGGGGCCCATGAAACGGTAATTGCTAGGCAGTAAGCTTCTATTTAAATCTTTTAAAAAGTAGTTCACACTGGGGCCATTGGGAATTTACTCTGGTCCCAAAAATTCTGCTGAAGATAGAGGCCACTTGCAGAAAAATGTTACTCATTTAAATAAGTGCTTTATGGGGCCAAGGGATTGCCCTGAACGCCAGAACACTATAATGTTTGTTGTAGCTCTAAGGGGTTGTCATAACACTTGGTGCATGTTAGGTGGTTTTCTCAAGGCTCTAATCACCACTTGAAATATACACTTGTTTGTGAATGTGGTATATGTTTTTCTCTGCATCAAGAAGGAAAACCCCGCCCTGGCCAGGTAGCTCAGTTGGTTAGAGCATCTTCCTGATACACCAAGATTGAAGGTTCAATCCCTAGTAGTCAGGGCACATACAGGAATCAACCAACGAATGCATAAATAAATGGAACAACAAACCGAGGTAAGGAGAAGGGTCCCAAGACAACCAACATAACAAGAATTGCTGGCAAAAAAAAAACTGGGAGACTCATTTTAAATTTTGGCCATAACACATCAGTCCATGCTGAAACCTGAAAGAGTTTGGGAACTATCTGCGATTGCGTCAACAAAAACAGTTGAATAACCAAACTTACCTAGCACGTGAGACAGATTATGCTCTGCACGTAGTAGTAAATGTAAACTTTAACCTTTATTCTCCCTGGAGAGTGAACTAGATTGTTTTGCAGTCTAGTGCGAGAGGTGTTCCGGGACACTGAGCACCATTCATGCAATAAATCATTACTGAGCACCTACTGCTCGAGGCACTGGGGCAGGGGGCATACAGCAGTGAACAGGCAGAATCACTCCGCTCATGGAGTTTAGATCCTGACAAAACACAGGTCATGTGATATCACATGGTAAGTGCTTCGGAGAAAAACAGGGAAGGGGGATGCTGGATTTTCAGTTGGGTGGTGAGGGGCAGCCTCACTAAGCTGGCACTTGAGCAGAGGTCTGAAGAAGGGGATGGAGCAGGCCGGGGCCAAGCACCCAGGCAGGCAGGACCGAGTGCCCTGGAACAGGTTTTTCTGGTGTGTTCTAGAATCAAGAAAGCCAGTGTGGCTGGCGTGGAGTCCGGGGCTGAGAGAGTATCAGGAACTGAAGTAAAGGTCAAGGGCCGCTTATTTATGACTCTGTATGCCATGGGAAGGACTTTGGCTTCTATTCTGAGAAGGGAAACCACAGGAGGAACTTTTGAGAGGAGTAAGAGTTTAAAAGGATCCCTCGTCAGGGGTTTGCCAGCGATCTCATACGGAACTGAAGGAGCAGATTTTGGTGGGTGGAGAGATCAGCAGCTTGGTTTTGGACATCTAATAAATATCAAGTAGGCAGTTGGATATTCAAATCTGCGGCTCAGGGGAGAGAGACAAGGTGGTAATATAAATGTGGGCATTTAAAGACATGAGCCTGGATGAGATGATCAAGGGAGTAAAAAGAGAAAAGGGGGGGTGGGCAAGCCAGCATTTAGAAATCCGGCAGATCCCCAAGGAGGAACCAGCAAAGGAGACGGGAGGAGCTGGTAAGGAAGAGAAAAATATCTAGACCTGGGCTAACACACAGTGGCTACTAGCCACTGGTGGCTATTTAAATTCTAATTGAAACTTTAAACCCAGTTCCCCAGTCACTTTAGCCACATCTCAAGGGCTCATTTCATGTGGGTAGTGGCTACTGATTGGGACAGCACAGATCAAGCACATCCCATCCTCGCTGAAGTTCTGGGCAGTAGTGATGAGAAGCCAACTGAAGGAAGCATCTCAAGGAGAGGGAATGTGTCCCAAACTGCTAATAAGTCATTGGAGGACTGAGATTGACCAATGGATTCCGTTCTGTGTAAGTTACCAGTGACCACGTGACAAGAAAACAGTTTTGGTAGAGTGAGGGGCAAAAACCTGATAAATGGGATTCGGGATAAACTGAAGGAGAGGAGTTGGAATCAGAATATGCAGACACTTCATTTCCAAGCTTGGGCTCCAGCTGGCGGCTGTCTGCAGTCTACTCGCCGAGGCCCAGCTCCCCTGGTGCTTCCTGCCCAGATCCATTCCACGCAGTGCAGGACCATGGGAGTCCCCCTTGCTCATCTCCTGCTTCGTTTTCTCCGGCTGTGGGGCTGGGTCTGGTCACACCTGGAGAGCTTCAAGAAGCAGGAGTGAAGCTGTCCCCTCCTCCTCACCTTGCCACCGGACCACCCCAGCCTGTTTTATCGTCCGCAGCATTCCTGGCTGCCTCCCCTGGATCCTGGCCTTCAGTCAGTGACTTCCTCTACAATCATAACCTGATTTCTCCATGGTGACACCCCGGAACTACATATTCCGGCTATAAGGCTCTGGTCAGTAGGCCTCCCCCTTGTAATAATAAAGTCTATTTAAACCTTTGGGGGGGGGAGGAAATATAAACACCTCTTTTAAAGATCTGCAGTTCAAACAGCTAGGGTGAAGTTACCGCAAAATAGTTTTTGAGGCGGTTCCAAAAATAAACACCAGATCTCGTGACTAACAATTGAGTCTTTATGGTGCAGAAAACCCTGACTCACTTGAAGACCTGCCTCTAAAAACAGGATTGCCTGGACTATGCCCACAGAAATGGACATAATTGGTGGAAAAGGGATCCTGACATTGTTCATATAATATACAGCCACAGTTCAAGACACCACTCACTGCCTTAGACCAAAGCAAAAATACTAATGCATGATGATTCCCAATCATGGTCTACAATTACATGGCATTAAAAAAAACATGTTGTAGAATTTATAATGACGGCAAATGTTTGATGCAAGCATGAGTCAT